TGTAAACCGAACGTCCCCACTTTGCTACTGTGACGATTGTGCTGAAATTATCGTCGAGAATGATGACATCCGCGCTCTCTTTAGCCACCTAATGTTATTGCAAAAAGAGTTTTAGAAAAAGGTCGAGTCTTTTGCCTACCATTATTGAAACTTTTTCGACATATCATAATACTTACTTCAGTTCCAGCAATACCCATTGCTAATCCTATGTCAGCCTCGTGGAGTGCTGGAGCATCATTTGTCCCGTCACCGGTCACAGCAACAACTTCATCGAAAGTGGTCCTTAACTGCTTCACGAGTGTATGCTTGTCCATGGGCGAAGAACGAGCCATCACCTGTCAAGAAAATTCCCAAAAAGCATGGTCTGATTCAAGACTTAAGAGCAAGTCTTCTAAATCAAGAAACGTTTACCTGAATCTTGGGAATCAGTTGAAGTAACTCTTCTTGGTTTTTCTCTCTGAACACAGGACCTTCAATGGCTATGCCATCATCAGTGAGAATTCCACATTCTCTAGCAATAGCCTTTGCGGTGTTAATGTTATCTCCTGTAACCATTCTCACCATAATACCAGCACGTCGACAAAGCTCCACGGATTCCCTGACTCCAGGACGAACAGGGTCTTTGATACCAACAATTCCTATGCAAGTAAACCCTGAAGCCGGAATAGCTTCATCCGCAGAAAACCCGTTTTCAATATCCATATAAGCGAGGCAAAGAGTGCGAAGAGCTTCATTTGCAAAATCATTGATTGTAACATTCAAGTACTTGATGGATTCTTCATCAAGCGGAACAACCTCACCGCTCGAGTTGATAACTTTATCACAAGCAGCTAAAACTATTTCAGAAGCTCCTTTCGTGTGAGCGCGGATGCGGCCTCCTTCAGGGAGCTCAATGACTACTCCCATTCTTTTCTTTGTGGAGTTAAAGGGCTCAACTTTGATAACTTTGTAAGATTGTCTCTCCTCTTGAAACTTACCTCCAAGAGATAGTCCTAACTCCAATATAGCAGTCTCTGTTGGTGTCCCCAATATCTCTGTCTTACCATGTTTGTTCACAACAACTTCACCGCCGGTGTTATTAAAAATCGACTGGAGAAGTAGTTTAATGGCAGCTTCAGGGATTTCAGACTGCAAGCTAGAACCTTTGCCTGCTACATCTTGAACATTCATACAAATGCAAGATTTCACAACGGTCATGTGGTTGGTTGTTAATGTACCAGTCTTGTCACTGCAAATAGTAGTTGCAGATCCCATTGTCTCACAAGCTGCCAAGTGACGAACAAGGGCTTTATCGTTCATCATTTTCTTCATCGCAAAGGCAAGGCTAAGAGTCACAGCCAAGGGTAAACCTTCAGGAACCGCAACGACAACAATTGTCACAGCAATAGCAAAGTATTCCAAAAGCTCTAATGCTTCGTCTCCAGACCATCTCCAGTGAGTGCCCATTGAAAGTTTCCTCATAAACATTCCTTGCACCAGAACCGCAAAGGTAACAATGGCAAAGAATAGACCTATTTTCCCAATGATTGTTGCAACTCCATTGAGTTTTACTTGCAATGGAGTTTCATCATCACCTCCTTCACTAAGAGCTGCCATTAGTTTCCCCCATTGAGTTCTCATCCCAACAGTTGTAACCATCATCTTACATGACCCATCTTGCACTTTAGTTCCAGAGAGAAGGAAAGGATTCTGCGCATTCACCATCACAGGCTCACTCTCACCAGTCAAACTCGATTCATCGATCACCACAGAGAATCCCGAGAGGAAAAGACCATCTGCAGGGACTTGATCTCCAATAGCAAGATGAACAATATCACCAGGGAGCAATTCATATATAGACATCTTCTGCCTAAACTCGTTTCGCGTAACCTGAACTGTGATCTTCTTCTTCTCTTTATCCAAATCCCGGAACTGCAAAGACTGCCTGTAATCACTCGTTGCTGTGACAAACACAACCAAAAGGATACTAGCAACAATCCCGAGACCATCATGAGAGCCTTGAGGCCATCCTTCAGTAGCAATCCCAACTATCAAAGACACAAAAGCACAAACACCTAGGATCATAAGAGTCATATCTTGAAGAGCTTCCCAAACAAATACCCAGAAACTCCTCAATTCACTCTCTGCAAACTTGTTGATTCCAAAAAGCTCTTGCCTTTTGCTCAACTGATCAGCTTCACCAGAGAGACCAGCATTGGGACATGCCTTGAGCTTCCCTGAAAGCCCATCAACTCCACCATGAAACTTCAACTTCTTCACATCATGACCTTCCACTATTGATCCTAACTCATCTGCACAAATCTCATACCCTGCAGCTTTAACCTCGTCAGGCACAGTGTAGTCACTTGGAGACACACCTGAAAACCAAAAAAAAAAAACCCATTTCAAATTTTTCAAAACAAATGAAAGCTCTAAACTTTCCTCACTCTCAAGATTAACTCACCAGAGATAAATTGAAATGCGGCTTTTGACACGAGAACTGCAATCCTCAACTTCTCCTGTTAGATATAGAAAATTTTCACACATATAATCTCAAATTAGATGATACATAAAGCTAAATTTCAGATATCATTAGTGTTCACCAAATCAGCAGAGATGAAAGAAGAAGGAGAAGGACCTGGTTGGTGCGGCGCATGGCGGCTGCTTCGTAACGTTTGGAGAGATTGGCGGTGAAACGAAAACGGCGTTTTGGGTTCTTGACGACGCCGCAGAGATTCCGCCATTTCTCGAGGACTTCCTCCGAAGAATGCTTCGCCTTAACGTCGAAATTCTCGTTCAGGTAACTCTCCATCTTTCTCTTTTCACAGCTTCAATGGCTGTTTCTGTAAAAAGAAAAACAAAAAATGCAAAGATGTCTTACTCTGTTTTTTTTTTTTTTAAATCTGATTTTTATTTGTTGGGTTTGTTTGG